TTCAGTACCTGGCTTGATTTATTTTTCCACTCTGAAACAGTATGGTCCAGGAGCTTTAGAAAAGATCAATTTCACTGCAGGAGGCAGAGGTATTTATTTTCTCCTTATTGCCTACACCACACAAATTAGAATTCAGAAAAGATCCTCACTTAAAGATCAGTATTACTCAGGGCACCCCATTTAGTACTGCAGGAGTGCTGAATAAAATGGAAAACATCACCAAAAAAGGCATTTTTCAGAAATGAACAATCCTTTGATTTCACTAGAAGTCAAAGAAACACTAGATTTAAGATTTTGTCATTGGATGATACATAAATCAGGTCAATACCAGTTCCATAGTAAACAGGACACAAGATGAAAGGCTGCAGGATAGCACCCACCCTAATATAGAGTGCACACACAGATAACACAAATGTGTAGAGCCACATGAATGTTAGGGAATTCCGTATGTATGTAGGTATGTTTAAAAAGTGATCACGGTTGTTACAGTTATCTGAAGGTTATTAGCAAAAAGAAGTAATTAGAATGGCAGATTCTGGGGAACCCTGCTTTTTTTGGGGTAGGCTTTGAGTTCTCAAACCAGAGCCTTCACTCATTAGCAATTTTTTTTTTAAATTCCAGATGCCTGTAGAAGATGCTCCCTATATTTATCCAGGGCATTACTTTATTGTTTTATTTCTAATTATATCTATATATTGTGATTTCTTTCTCTACAGCTACCTATTTTTGCTTTAATTTATTTATTGAGAGATTGTTTAGCTCTATGCTTTTTCTTTCTTTTTCTTTTTTATCCTCATCCGAGGACATTTTTTCCCCCCATTTATCTTCAGATAGAGAAGGAGGGAAGGGGGGGGGGGAGACAGACAGACAGACAGACAGACATTGATGTAAGAGAGACACATGACCTCAACCGGGGTAGGGACAAACTGCAACTGAGGTTATGTGCCCTTAGCGGGAACTGAACCTAGAACTCTCTGGCCCATAGGCTGACACTTTAACTGCCGAGCCAAACTGGCCAGGGCTCCATGCTTTTTCAATTGAGGCACATATGGCCCCCACAATGGTGCACCAGGGATTGTATGAAACTACAAGATAAACCTGAACGTTTTCTCTAGAGGGTTTATTTTGAAAATATGGAAAGCTATTCTAGTGTCATGGTTAAAAGTGAGTGCTCTGTTGTCAACTTCCTAGGTCAGAATCTTGATTCTGCCACTCATCTTTGGCAAAGTACTTAAACTACCTGTTCCTAAGTATTTTAATCTGAAAATAGGAATAATACTAGTGCCTACTTTATACTTGGTTTTGAGAAATGGGCATTCAGTACCAGTTCCTAGCACACAGTAAGCTTTCAGCAGGCATTAGTTATTATATATCTTAAAATCAGATTATTCATTTCCCCCTCTTGAACAAAGATGGAAAGATAGAAAATGTTAAGGTGTGGATTTAAATAGGGAGACCAGGGACCATCTCACTGAAAAGGTGACTTTTGAGGAAAGACCTGAAGGGAGTGAGGGAATTAACTGTGAATTCTGGGAGAAGAAAACTTCAGAGAGAGGGAACAGCAAGTACAAGGGCCCAAGGTATGCCTCTTTGTTTAAGGACTAGCTTCCTAAGGCTGGAACAGAATGAGTGTGGTGGCAAGAAAAAGAAAAAGAGAATGGGGGAGGGACAGTAGTGGATCATTTAAGGCTTTGTAGCTTTTATTCTGAATTGAAATAGTCATGTGCAGAAGAGTGATTATGATCTGACTGACTTTTTTAAAAAAACCGTATCTGCTGGGTTGAAAGAAGACCACAAGGAGGCGAGGGCGAAAGCAGGCAGGTTACTGCAATAATCCACTTAAGAGATGGTGGTAGCTAGGACCAGACTGGTGACAATGGGAGTAGTAAGAAAAGATAGAATTCTTGATATATTTTGAAAGTTAAGGTTGATAGGATCTATTATTAAATTAGATGTGAAATGTAAAAATGTAAAAGAATGAAGAAGTCAAGGGTGTTTTTGAAGTTTATGGCTTAATCCCTAAATAAAAATTAAGATGCCATTAACTATGATGGGAAGAATGATCACAGGAAGAGAAAGTTGGGGGGAATGTGAGAACCTGTTTCAGACTTAGTAAACTTGAGAGGCCTAGTAAACATTAAAATGGAGATGTTAAGTATATGTTTAAATAAACTAGCTTGACATTCAGGGACTAAGTCTGGATTAGAGTTATAAATTTGGAAGTTATTAGCATATAATAATATAGTCATGGGTTGCTCGACAGGAATCTCTTTTGAGAAATGTGTTGTTAGGTGATTTCATCATTGTGCAGACATCACTAAGTGCACTTACACAAATGGAGATGGTATAGCCTACCACACACCCGGGCTGTCTAGTATAGCTTACTGCTCCTAGGCCACGAACCTATACAGCATGTCACTGTAGTGAATACTATAGGTAACTGTAACACAATGGTAAGTATTTGTGTATCTAAAGTTATCAAAATAGAAGTTCAGTAAAAAGAAGGTATAAAAAATAAACTGTGTGCTGTGCTGTGGGAGCAGGGGGAGGGCTGTGTAGAGAGGTGCCATCTGCAGGGAGAAGACACCAGGAGGAGGGAGGGAGGAAGGAGAGAAGGAAGGAAGAGAAGGCTAGAGAAAGAGACCCAGAGAGATAAAGCTTGAGACTAGAAATAATAAAGAGGGAAAAGAGAGAGAAAGAATCAGGACTGGAAAGAAAGAGGTACAGAGAAATGGAGGGAAGGGAAGTGAGTATGTGTGTGCAGGGGTGGACATCTGGACTCTCCTATTCTCCAGCATTCTCCCTGGCTCCCTCACCAACTCTGGACCCCAGTCACAGTAGGATGCAGGTGGATAACATGCTGGTAACATAATTTACTTAATATAACTTATTTTAACCACCCAGAACTAGCAGTAAATTCAACACTTTAGTCAGGTCCTGTCTTTTCTTTCAACATACAAACACTTTTTTGCTTATAATCCATTTTGATCTTAAGGACGATATATATGTGGCCTGGTACTGACTGAAATGTTGTTATGAGTGCACGGCCATATCTGAAGTCAGGAGACTGAATGGGATCACCTAGGAAATAGCACAGACAAAAAAGAGAGAGGCCCAAAGACTGAGATTTGAGGCTTTAACATCACTTCTTAAAGAACATGTGACAGGTCAGAGAGATGAGGGAAAACCAGCAAAGAATATAAGGAGAAGTGGAAATCCTAGTGTAGACTCTTGGAAGTCAAATGAACAAAATGTTTCAGAGAAGAGAGTACTCAACTGTGGCACATACTGCTGATACAAAGATCAAGGAAGATGAGGGCTGAAAGATCACCACTGGCTTTAGTAACAATGCTGTCACTGATGACCTTGACAAGAGCAGTTTTGGTTGACTGTGGAAAAAATCCTGATTACAGTAGATTCAAGATAGAACGGGAGAAAAATTGGGAATAGTAAGTTTAAACAACTTTATTTTCACATGCCAGTTCAATATGACTATCTTTTATCTAGTTCAATACAAAATTCCCCTTATCAAATTATCTTAAAAAACAGCAGCAAAAACTTACTCTCCTTTTAAGAATCATCAACTATCCAAACACAGGAAATCCACTAGTTCGATAGAAGGAGACTAGGAGAAGAGGACTTTGGGGGAAGACTAGAAATTAAATAGCAGTGGAACAAATAGTGGTATATTAGAATTTACATACTACTGCTGAACTAAACTAAAATGGTTCCAGTTTAGTCACTTGTGTGTGTCTGTGAGGTAATTTTAGCACAATTTCTAGTGCAAGCAGAATCATCCATGGATCTTTAAATCAAACAGGCATGTAAGCACATGAACACACCTAAGGGGCTTCACCATTCACAGAATCTAACTGAGCAAGTTTGGGCTGAGCTCTGGGCATTTTTATTTTTTGAAAGTTCCACAGGTGATTATGGAATTTGAAAGCACCATATCTCAGCTTGGGTTGAGACTCACTAGAATATAATGGTTTAAAACATAAAATAAGCTCAGGTTCCTCTAAGAAACTCAGCAGTAAAATCACTATGTTTGGAAATTTTAAAAAGGACAAGTGGTACCAGCAGTAGTAGGGGCCTGCATGCTGCAAGAGGGTGATGATATAGTACAATACTTGGAACAATTCACTGAGGATACAAAGATGACTAAGGTATGTGGTTACCCTAAAGGACTCACAGCTAATCTACAAATATACTTCAATATTCAAGAAAACAAACACTTATCCCCCACTTTGTTATTTGAATGAATTTAAATTGCCTATTAAAGACTAAGCAACTTAAGGAGTCAGATAAAATATGACATGATAGAAATGATATATACTTGAATATAGATATAAATTAGTAGTATGCCAATATCAACCAGTCTATTTCAGAAAAGGATACTGAAGTGAGATAGATTTAAAGTAATGCTCTTATTGACAATTCCAAATAAGAGGAAAGGTTGCATTACCTTATTTTTCAAGTGAGGCTGAAAGAGACAAATATTAGGAACAGGATTCAAATTTTTCTTTATATTACTCTAAGAACTGTAGTGATATATACTTTGATATAAAGTAAGACAAACAACATGGTATTAGAGAAATAAAGAGAATTCTACTGGTCAAAGAAGGCAGATTTACTATATTAGCCAACTAACTTATTAAAATGTATATTTATATGAATTTTTATTTGCAGAAAGTTTAAAGGGAAAGTAAGCATCACCACAGGTAAGACAGTAACTGAAAAGAATGTGTTACAAACATTAAGAAAACAAAACCAGAGTTGATCATTCTGAACATTTGATAACTATCATTCAAACTTCAAGTTGTATACCGTAATAAAATTGAAATTTTAAATTTAAATGAATACTCACACAAGCTCTTAAAAGGTGACACAATAATGCTGATTTAAAAGATGAAATAACGCTTATACCCACTTCTGCAGTGAAATCAAATGTACAGCAACAAGCCCAGTATGGAAAATGATCCCACCTTTAGTATTATTACCTTGTGTGTAGGCAGCATCATCAGATCCCATACTCAACTTCCGTGCTTCACTTATTCTATCCACATGTGCTAAAGTAGGGTCCGTGAGGTGTTGAATATTCTCTGTTTCTACATAATGATCAGGATGATTTAGAAGATTTGTAAGTTCAAAGGTAGGGGACACAACCCCTGGTGAAACTGCAGGGGGTTTATTGGGAGAAACTGTAATTTTGAAAGTATATTTTGTATTGGGCTGAGTGACCACCACTCGAGGAGAAGTTGCTGAGTTATTGCCTATTGCTCGACTTTTGGGAGGGTGGTGATGAATAAAGGCAGGACCCATGCTCACTTGCCCAGACATATTCCTGGAGGCAGCAGATGCTCCAGAGTTTGTGGATATGAAGAGGGTGGGCTGATTCCGGATGACCTGCTCATCTCCTGTGGTGGCATTAGCTGAAATATAGACCTTAGGTTGACTACGGGACATCACCTCATCAGTATTTGGGGGACTGGCAGCTATGTAAACAGTGGGTTGATTTCTATTTAAGGTCTGGCTGTTGACAGAAGAGGAACCGCTGGAGGTTCGAGGTCCAGAAGAGCGCAATTTTGAAGAACTGTTTCTTTGTGGAGGCTCAAGTTTGATCTCAATCTGGTTTTTTCGAGGTCCTGTTGAAATATTCTGAATGTTATATTGGCTATGGGCAGAAGACTGAGAGCTACCAGACGAATGAATTGTTGGTGGTTGTGGAGTAGTAGGTGAACTGATGGGCATGTAGACATGAGAGGTCTGGTGGCCTTGCTGATTTGGCTGCTGGGCTGAGGTATGTGACAGAGGATTAGATGTAGGATAAGTAGTCCAGGGACCAGGTTGTGAAGGTTGATAGACTTGTTGAGAGTTCATGGGATTAAACTGAGATACCCAGCCAGAATGCTGTTGTGTCTGTCGAGTTGTACCACTAGGAGTTGTAATGTAAGGCCTAATATAGATAGAATTTCCCTGTGGACTGTTAAGTACAGGTGGAGGTACACCATGTATGTGCAAAGATGTAGGAGTATTACGACCAGTCTGGATATTTGGGGCTAAAGTTACCATAATGGGATTAAATCTGGTGGTTGGTTGAGAAAGGTTAGAAGTTCCTTTGCTGCCTAAGTGAAATCCAAGATGTGGTGCTGAATTTGAAGCACCAGATGTACTGGATATTCCAAAAACGTTAAAGCCTTGAGGAACGTGAGCTGGTGCTGTCTGTGGCTCCTGCTGAAACAGTTCATTATTGGACTGACCACCTTGAAGTTGTCCATCACTAATGCTGTGCGTTAGAGTCCTACTTCCATTCATTCTATTTCCTTCTCTCCCATGGTGGTAAACATTCTGTGACTGCAAGTCCAAGTTGAGAGAAGTCATGTGATTGCGCAGACCAGAAATTCCAGAATCATCCGAAAAATTCAAGTCTCCTTCACCATAAAGATAACGTGTACTCTCTTGAGAGAGAACTGCACAGCAGGCATCCAGGTTATTATTATTCTATAAAACAAAATAAAAACAGCTTGATGTTAAGAACCAGAAGCTAATGCTTATGCTCACCACTACTAAAATATTACATAACCAAATTAGTGAATAAAATTACAACAGATATATTTGAAACTTATTTGAGAAAAAATATTTTTATGCAAATAGTTTAATTAAAAACCCTCATTACTAATATGGAAAATTTCTCTTAACTAGCAATAGCTAAGTGAACCAAGTTATTGTTCAGTTTTAGAAGCTATTTTATAGTAAAATGAACTCATGCAAATACAATAAATTTACAACCTAATTAAAATGGAATTTGAGTGCTGAACATTAAACTTAAGCATATAATACCGTATGACTATTTTACACACATTCAAGTGCTATGTAAATCCTTTTAAAATGACCTTTCAAAAAATGACATTTGTAGTATTTAAATTTTTAAAATTCTAAAATTCTTAACAAAGCCATCTCAATTCCTTACATGCTTCTTCCTAACTTGTGTAAAACACACACACACACACACGCACACAGAAAAATAAAATGTCAGCTCAAGGTAGCCTGCAGAGTAACTTAGTTCATGCTCTGTCTTTAGATAGCACCATGTAAAAAGATACAACAGAGAAATAAGAAACAAAACAAGAAACTAACCAGATCGTTTCTAAAGAATCCTCAAAAGAGACTAACCATTATTCATAAATCATCCATAAACATATTTATCAACCACCTAGAATATGCACAACACCCTGTCTGAGATTGTAGAAGACTCAATGACATATAATATCAAACTTCCCTAGAAGAGCTTGCAACTGGATTATAGAGACAAACCATACACGGGCTTTTGAAAAGGTAACATTAAAACATGTGAGTATTTGCCAAATAATAAATGGTACTGAAGTTCAACAGAGAGTAAATATTATAGGCTACTGTAGAAAGGAGAAAGAACTCTGCTAATGAGGGAGGTATGGTCTGATTGTTTTTCTAGGATATGTAAGACTTGGCTACAAAAAAATTCTTGATGAAGAAAATGGCATGAGTAAAGAAAGACATAAATGTAATAGCAAGTTAAAGCATGTTCTAAACAAGGTGACTGTATCAGATGTGGCTGGAGTCTGTACTAGTTTGTACTGGATATTTTGCAGAATATGCTGTTAGAGAAGCAGACTGGAATTAAATAATTGAGGACTTTGAAAAATGAGTCATGCTGGAGTTTGGACTTTAATATAGGCAATGGTGAGAGCCACTCAATGTACATGAACAGTGAAGTCAAGACACAGTGTGTTTTGGGAAGACAAGTCTATTGATACAATGAATAGAAAAAGGGAAAATTCGGACAGTAAGACCAGTTAGAAGATGTGACATAATGACTATTTTTTTTTGTTGTTGTTTAGATAGAATGGGAGGGAGAGGAAGAGGAGAGAGAGAGAAACATCGACGTGAAAGGGACACATCGAGTGGCTGCCACCCGCACGACCCAACCAGGGCCGGGACAAACTGCAACTGAGGTACATGCCCTTAGTGGGAACCGAACCTGGGTCTCTCTGGACCGCAGGCCGACGCTCTAACCGCTGAGCCAAACCGGCCAGGGCGACATAATGACTATTTGATAGTGGAAACAAATTATGAAAGACTACAAATAAATAATCAACACAATCTGGCTACAAGAGAGAAAGAAAATTCAAAGAAAAACTTGAGAACAGGAGCCTGATAGAAAAGGGACACTTTTAGATATAAAAAAGATGAGCAACCAAGTTAAAATGTCTACAGGTGGTCTGATATGAGATAAAATATTGTTAGAGAAAATTAAACTAAAAAGGCATTTTTAAGTCTTGTTAAGAAATGACAGTCCATAGTTCGAATAATAACAAAAAAGAAAAGGTTAGTAAGATTTAACCTCCCCCCCACTCCAAAGCAACAGTTCAAATTTCTCCTACTGTAGAAATACTTTTATCTGACTTCTAACTCTGAATTGATATATTCGTTTTTAAAATGTAATTTAAAAATTCATCACAAGCTTTATCATCTGATTACTCTTTGTTATATTTATGCCTTTTCTTTACCAAACCTAACTGGTGCTTTTTGCTTCAAACTAACTTTACTGCTATTAGTAGTAAATTCTCTCTTCTAAGCCTATGCTCACAAAGACCCTATCTTCTCATCTTTTTGCCAACATTCCCAAATTAAAATGTACATTCCTTACCAAGTCCAATCCAAACTTCCTTTTTAAAAGCTGGCACACATATTTACAAAGTCTTCCTCTTTAATTCTTCTGAGCTCTCAAAAATCCCCTCAATCCTTTAAATTTCTGATTATTTAATATGTTCTAGTCTCAGCTATGCCATAACTCACACTGTTTTCTTATAGGCAAAACATAAAAAAAAAAGTTACAAGGCTTTTATAAGGCTACAACAGGGTAAAAGAAATGTAGTTTTTATTTTAGAAATCCTCATCATAAATAAAAATGAAAAGTAAATATAATAAATTCCACTATGTTCATCATTAACAAATTGATATATGGCAAATATTTTTTCATCCAATGTGTATGCCCTAGCTAGTCTCCCCACAAGGCTAAACCAAGTCTTAGACATTATTTTGTTTTTAGCTGTAAATACATCAATGTGTATCTTAAAAAAATAAGGACTTAAAAATAACCACAACCACAATGTCATTATCAATACTTAATGTCTAATATCCTAAGAGTGTTAAAATCCCCTTACTGTCTCATAAATGTCTTTTAAGTTAGTTAAAATCAGGATCCAAATAAGCAAGTTCCAATTATTTGGTTGATATGCTTTTTACATTTATTTTTAATTTTTAAAGCTATTTGTTGAAACATTTGACCATTTGTCTAGAATTTCCCATCTGGATCGGCTGACTGCACCTGTAGTGTCAATATCCCCTGCATTTCATTACATTACAAACTAGTTGCAACTACAGATATGAGCAGGTTCATGTATGAATTTTTGGTAAAACTCTTTATAGGATCGATTTCTATTTTTTTTTCAAATTATTTTTTAAATTAATTTTTGTTCCAGATGTTTCTCCTTTTTCCCCCAATGACACCCATTCCCCCATCCTGTCACCCCCCTTACAGCATTGTTTTTTAAAAATTATTTTTTGTAATTTATTTTTGTTACAGATGTTTCTCCTTTTCGCCCCATTGCCACCCTCCCGCCCCATCCCCAGCTTTCTGTCTGTGTCCATTGGTTATGCGTACATGCATATAAGTTCTGTGGTTTATCTCTTCCCACCTGCCTCCCTCCTCTGAGGTTTGCCAGTCTGAATCCTACTTCTAGGTCTCTGGGTCTATTTTGTTCATCAGCTTATTTTGTTCATTATATTCCACAAATAAGTGAGATATGTGATATTTGTCTTTCTCTGATTAACTTATTTCGCTTGGCATAATAATCTCCAGGTTATAGTGTCTATTTCTTATTGCATCACACAAGGAGGCACAATAATGACTGCCTGTCTTTTTGTGATCTTGAAGTTGACTGGTGGATTCTGATGTTGTCAGCTTATGCCCTAGCCAGGTAGCACAGCTGGTCAGAGCATCGTTCTGAAATGCCAAGGCTGAGGGTTCAATCCCCAGTGAGGGCACATATAAAAATCAACCAATTAATGGATAAATAAGTGGAACAACACATTGATGTTTCTCTCTCTCAATCAATCAATAAAAAATATGATATTGTCAGCTTCATCCAGCTAATGATTTTCAGCAAGTACTGGTTAGAAACATAATTTCATTATGGGTTGCAAAATGGTGATATTGGTGATATCCCAATAATTAGAGTCCTTCTTCATATATTAGCTGCAATTATTCCTCAAAGAACTTGCTCACTTCAATTATTTGGTTAGTTTTCGCACAGAAGAGGCACTTTCTCTGTATTGGTTTTTAGAGTAATGAATTGGTACCCTAGCAACCTCCAAAGGTGACTAAGATTTATTTTTTTGTATCATTATAGACTCCTGTATTCTGATGTGTGTTAACTGACTGTGGTCATTATATCCTATCTTTAGGCTACTGGGAATAATTTCAAGTTGGTTTTCATGTAGGTATGACATGAACCCCAGTAGTCATTCATAGCTTCCTTGCTTCCCGACATAACAAGATGTCCAGATCACCTTGTACACTTCTTACCCCAGACCGGGAATCAGCTATTTCTCAAATAAGCCCTAACTACTTTTACTGGGAAACTGTAGAAGACTCCTTTGAAGTGTATCAAAATGGGTGGGATGAGCTTTTAAAAGGTTGAGAATCATTGCTTTTTTGTATATATACAAATCTGTATTCTCTTTAAAGCTACAAACGAACCTGAATCATAATTATAGTACCTCTTCCATTCTTCCCCAAGCTTCTTGCAAAGACATGGAGAATATAGATAGTAATCAAAGTATATATTATGACCATTCTTCTCAAAAAATAATCTTTATTGATTTTAGAGAGAGGAAGGGAGTGAGAAAGAGAGAGAGAAAGAGAGAGAGATAGAAACATCGACTGGCTACCTCCTGCATGCCCCTCACTGAGGATCAGGCCCACAACCTGGGCATGTGTCCTGACCGGGAATCGAACTGGCGACCTCTTGGTGCCTGGTTTGATGCTCAACCACTGAGCCACATCAGTCAGGCTCTTCTCAAACTCTTATTTACTCCTTCAACCAGTATCTGCTGAGCACCCACATTAGGCAAGTAGAAAGGAATATAATCATTGCTTTTAAGGATCTCACAGTCCAGTGGAGGAAACTAATGTGCACACAAATATAATACAGAATGGTAGGTGTTTTAACAGAAATATGGATAAAGACTACAGGTGGAGGTCATCTGAGAAGGCATCAACTAAGGATATGATGCTTAAATACTAAGTTTTACAAATACTGAATGAACACTCTGCATGCATTATTTTGAAGAGAAATAGCAATTTTAAACTTGCATATTAAATCATATTAAGATAAAGTAAAAAAATTCAGTTTAAAAAAACCAAAGTACCAACAATGCTGTATTTTCAACTATTATAAGATTTAATCACCAAACATCAATCAATTTTAAAGATATGAATTACACCTGCTGAAAATATAGCTATCCTAGAGACTCCACAGCACAAGTAATGTGAGTAGCTCCAGAAACAGGGATCTGAGGAGTAAATACAGTCAAGAAGAGAACAGAGGCTAGAGTCTTATGTTCTCCTAAGAAGCAAGACATTTAAGAAGAAACATGGCAGTAGTTGGATGCCCAGAGTGATTACTAACTCAGAATAAAAGTGTTTCTGCCTCACAGGTAATTGGCAAGCCAAACAGAGTCCATTTCAGTAATCACTAGGTGTTGGGAAGCATGTTGTAGGAAGATTTGATTTGTAAAACCAGATTAACACAGTAAAGGTGATATTACTGAGTGCCCAAAGGAAATGCAAAATCATTTATTTTCTATTTTATGACAAAGTTAAAAATATGCTTAATTTTAATTTTAAGAAAATACGCAAGACATTTACACAGATCAAAACAATAAAAATACACATATGTTGAGATGTCTCATTCCCGTATCTAACCCTATCTGACTTGTTTCCTCTTTCCCACTATTGGTAACCGTCTTTTATTAATTTTTTTTTTATCCTTCCAGAATTTCTTTATGCAAACATGGAAAAATATATAAATGTGTGTATATTTATTCCCTTTGCTCTCATCTATATATATTGATCTGTTCTGTTTTCTTAACTCAATATACGAAAGATTATACTGTACAATTACATGGTTTTTTGTTTTTTTGAAAATATTTTAAATAGAATGTCAACTGTAACTGAAGATTAAAAAAAATAAAAACATAAAATATTTTAAATAATTCTACAAAAAGCTCTATGTTTTAGTCCCAGTTAAGGTACTTCAATATCTCTATAGCTGTGCTATCGGGAAAGTGTACTAGACAGTTCTCTCGATATTAACTTATAAAATTTTATTGTGGAACCTACAGCATTTTTCTCTGTCTCACTGAACACTCTCAGCATAGTCTTACTTTACCACAAAATTCTATTTGAAAAGTTAGGAAGAGGTACCTGAGTCCTAGGGAGACACTTCCCCCCACTATCTCTGCTCTTCCCCATACTTTCTTTAACTTCTGACTCCATTCTTATTACTCCCCCCTTCCCTTTATATATATTTTTCACATCCTATATCAACAAATGGGGACTACTGATTCACTCACCAAATATTTACTATGTGTCTTCTACTATTATTACTGTTAATTAGTACTGGCTGCTAACATTTATTGAGCTTTCATTATGAATTAGGTATCCTATTAGTTGCTTTACCTGCATTATCATATTTAATTCTCTGTGAAGTTTCTTATTCCCATCGTACAGTTGAGAAAAATGATCAGAGGTTAGTACCACTAGTAACTGTCAAAACTTGAACTCAAATCTGTTTATCACCAAAGCATGCTATTTATTATTTTAAATTTTTATTTTTATTTCCTCCCAGCTTTACTGAGGTATGATTAAAAAATAAAAGTAGTATATATTCAGATTGTACAATATGATTTTTAAAATGTACAATTCAGTGATTTCATGTATTTATATATTGTGAAATTACCACAATCAAGTTAATTAACACATCCATCACTTCACAGCGTCAACTTTTTTTTTTGGTGGTGAGCTCACCACCACCACTTAAGATCTACTCTTTGAGCAACACAGTATTATTAATTCAAAACATTTTCAATATTATATTATATAAAGAACCAAGCATGTTAGGATAATTCCAATCAGTTGAAGATGTTACAGTATTGGTTGTGAGGAGAAAGGACTGGGCTAGAGATCAGGCTGCAGAAGAAGGCAGAATTCCAGATCACAGACCTAGTCATTCCCTGGTCAAGATATGAACTTTATTCTGAAGGTATGAAGAACAACAAAGAGGTTTAAGCAGGTAAATATATGCTAAAATCTGCATTTAGAAAGACACTTTGGCAAAAGTGAGGAGGATGGATGGCAATATCAAAACTAGGTTAGAGTAAAGGCAGGTACACACCAATTAAATGTACAGATAAGCCCAGCCGGTGTAGCTCAGTGGTTGAGCGAAGACCCATGGACCAAGAGGTCGCTGGTTCAATTCCGGGTCAGGGCACATGCCTGGGTTGTGGGCTTGATACCCAGCAGGGGGTGTGTAGGAGGCAGCCAATTGATGTTTTTTTCTCATCCATGTTTCTATCTCTCCCTCTCCCTTCCTCTCTAAAAAAAAAAAAAAATCAATAAAACACATTTAAAAAAAGTACAGATAAAAGGGAATAAGGGTGTGAACAAAATATAGTTACTTAATATCCAGTATAAACACTAACTCTTTAAAATTTTCATACAAATTCAAACTTTAAAAATAATTTGCCAAGAGTAAACTAAATCCAAATTACTTTTTTATATCTCTATTTTGACAAAATGAAATCGTTTTTGATAGAAAGATTTCTAGTTTAATAAAATGAGAAGGCACAACTAGCACTACATTTATGGATTTCTAAAATTGTACATATTAGTAAAAATATAAAAATTTATCAGCTGTTTAGTGATATTAATTGGAAAGCTTACAGATTAAATTAAAAATATGAAGATAAACTTTTTCCTTTAGAATTGGGATGTTAGGCTTTTGTCTAGTCAATTTCCTTCACTTTTACACATAAGAAAACTCAAGTACAAAGAAGGCATAGTACTTGCCAAATATGCTTGGGATGCCTATTTAGGATTAGAACCCAAGAGTCTTGATTCCTATTTAATGATTTTTCTCACTTTCACATGAAGATCTGGAATTCTCCTGGCAAAATAGGAGGGGGAAAAGTAAAGCAAGCTCATAGTATGTATAAACCATATACCAATGCTTTATATGGTGTTTCATTTAATCCTCACATCTACTTTACAAGGTAGGTATTCTCCATATTACAGATGGGGTACAGAGACTAAATAACTTGTTAAAGGCCACATCACTATCAGACACCAAAGCTCACCTCTTTTCATGATAGCAAATTAATTCCAATGTTTAAAAAAATACCAGGTTTATATCAATAAATTCAGAAATCATTGAACACTGACCTGTAACATGCACCTGGATACAACAACTTCAGGTACTTCAGGGAATTTTTGTCGCAGGTCATGTAAAACCTGAAAATCAATTTGGTGGCTTCCTTGGGCCATTCGTATATTGCCTGATCAGAACTATTTGTACAGTAGGCAATTCTAGGCCTTAGCGGAAATAGTACTCATCTCTTCTGTCCAAGCATTTTCTGTGAAAGAAAGAAAAAAAATTTTTAATGAGAACTGATTATAGAATGAATATTGTTGTGGATTTAAAATGTCAATACAAAAGGGTATTGTGCTCTAGTACCTAACATTTAATATAAACTATAAAAATATTATTTAGTCCTATAATACGTTACACATAAGTTATACTATCTTTATAGTTTATAACTCTTGATGGTTAATTTTAAATGGTCTAATTCCTACATATTTTTATGCTTTATAATGGCAGTGCCAGAAGGCTTTTTTTTTTTTTTGGTTAATCCTCACCCAAGTATACTTTTCCACTGATCTTTTAGAGAGAAAGAGAGAATCAATGCAAGAGAGACAGACCGAACTATTGCCTCCCACACGACCCGACGAGGGCCGGGATCTAACTAAACTTGCAACCAGATATGTGCTCTTGACCATAATTGAACTCGAGACCCTTTGGTCTACAGGCTGACACTCTAACTGGTGAGCCACACCAGTCAGGTATTTAAATAAATTATTGACAAGGTGGTCTTCCCTCATTCTTTTAAAAGGGAAATAAGTACTTTTACTGATTCTTTTCTTAATGATTAGAGGTCAGCCTGAGGAGAGGAATTCTCATTTACTCTACATAAAATTAGGATCCTGAAAAAATTTGATTCTACAAATAACTTTGCATGCTTTGTTTAAAAAATGATCTATAACCCAATACATTAGATATTTTCTCTTAATTTTCAGATATACTTAACCTTTAAATGTGTAATCAATTCATTCTCAGGGGCTTAATAGCATTTTATTCAGTGTTTCTATTAAATAAGTATTAAAAAATACTAATGCTTGGCCCTAACCCCAGAGGTTCTGCTTTAATTGGTTGGGGAGGAGCCGGGGAATATAAATTTTTTAAAGTTCCTCAAGTGATTCTAATGTGTGGCCAAAGTTGAGAGCTATCTACCTTATTTTTATTCCTAATATTTCTAATGTAAACCATGTTGATTCTTGAAAGCCTCTTTGGGATATAAGTACTATGTAAGTATATTAAACTGAAATAGCATATTAAAATAGTTAAAATCATGGCATTTGCATAATAATTAAAATACATTTCATTTTAGGATAAATTTAACAAAAAGACAATTTTTAAAAAACAAATTTCTTATCTGTACTATTTCTGTTAACCTCGTTAACAAAAGTTTAAAAAAATACGGGTCTGTAAACTCCACAAATATAGGAATTAGGTCTCTTTGATCCATTATTGTATATCTAGCACTCTGTAGACAGTTTTCAGCACAACAGTAGATATTAAAATACTTTTTAGTAAATTTAGTTACGATAGAACTCCCGAGCCCTCAACAGAATAAAAATCACTTAGATAGCATGCACAGTAAAGCCTTTCAGGTTTTATTATCATTTGATTAAACTTCACTTAATTCTATGTGACTTTAGCTTGGTTACATATTGGATGAAAGCACTGCCAAACCAAGTTATTTGTATTATAGATTTCCCAAATCTATTTCTGCGTGACACACACACACACACACACACACACACACACACACACAATTTCAGCACACAAAGTACGTTTCTACAAAAGGGCTGCAGGAGAAAAGGACTGAAAATTAGTAAATGATATTAAAGATAATTTAAGGAGTACTGCTCATCTTGAGAAAGCAACTCTTGACTTCACTCAAGCTATCAGTTACCTGTCCCGTCCCTCTTTTGGGCTACAACTCCTGGAAAGAGTTGTTTATACTTAAGTGTCTTCATTTTCTCCCTCCTAATTTCTTATAAACCTACCCCAATGAGGCTTTCATAGTTTTTCCTCCACTGAAACTATATTTATCAAAGTCACAAACCTTCGGGTTTTCAAATGAAAGGTTAGGCCTCAGTTCTCATCTTACCAGACCTTTCTGCAGTCACTCCCTCATTCTTTAAACAATTTCTTCACTTGGCTTCTAAGATTTACACTCTTCTGGTTTTCCTCCTATCCACTGGCAGCTCCTTCTCAGTTTTGTCAAATTCTCTTCCTTCTAAATGTTGGTGGGATGTAAAGTTGAGATCTACGGTTCCTTTTCAACTACACCCACATTCCTCTTCAAGGTAATCTCATCCCAACATACTGCTTTAAACAGAGGTTTTGCAAATTTATATCTCCAACTCCTAGGAAGTCTTGTCCTTGAGTCCCAGACTAATATAGCCTGCTTCCTGCCTGACATCTCCTTTTGGATATCCAGAATTCTTAGTATGTCCAAAATCAAACTCTTAATCCCCCCATCCAAACCAATCCTTTCTCAGTCTTTTTCATCTCAGTAAATAGTACCATCATTCATACAGTTGCTCCTTCTCTAACATCCCATATGGAATCGATCAAGTAATATTAGATGTACTGGCAAAACAAAACAAACAAACAAACAAACAAACAAAAAATGGAATCTGACCACTTTCCCCATTTCTGTTACTGCTTTTGTCCAAGCCATGGTCATAATTCACCTAGATGGAAAGCAAAATTCTTAACTGGTCTCCTCCCTGCCTTCACTATTTGCTCCACCTGCACCTCATTCTATTGAGTGGAGTGGTCTTTGTGAAAAGTAAATCAGAGTAATCATTATCCCAGCTCAAAATCCGACAACACAGGCTCCTGGCTAAAAACAGCCCCTCAGCCTTCATCTCCTACCACTCTCCTTGATCTCAGTTCTGAACTGAGCCTTTGGTTCTTGATTTCGCAAAGTCAATCTCATTCCTTCTTTGTGGCTTTTGAACTGGCTGCTCCTTGTACCTAGAATACTCTCCTCTCAGACTGCTTGCATGCTCTTTCTCTTACTTCATTAAGATCCCTAACCAAATGTTACTTCCTCAGAGACAGCTTCCCTGACCAATCTAGCTAAAATAATGCCCTCCCATCACATTCTTATACCCTGCTTTTTCTTCATAGCATTTACTGATACATGGCATATACTTACTATTTATCTAGCTATCCCCAAAATGTTAGCTCCACAGGATCAAGAACTTTGACGTTTACTGATGTCTCCCCAGGATCTAGGTCAAAGCAGCAACATTTTGATGAAATGAAAGTTTTACTGTATGATTTCTTCATATTACTTTGTTTCAAAATATATTTCCAATGACCTAGATTTGGAAATGTATATACTATTTGAGGGAGAAGCTAATACATTTTCACCTTAATTCAGGACCATCTTTATTATTTAAAAGAGAATAAATCACGAAAATAAATTTCTATTAAAACATACACAGAAACCTCTAAAATTCTTTGAAAAACTTATCACGCTTGCTTTTCTCATAGACTATCAAGTACACAAATGAGAAAACTGTTCAAATGTACAAATATATTTGGGGATTCTACTTCCTGTAATGGCTAAATAGCTCCTACTATACCAACTCTCTCACCAAGAACAAACTATAGACAATAGACACAGTATAAAAAACTACTACTTGAAGGCAGAAAGCAGAAGCAGCAATGGGGTGGTAGTGATGGTGCTAGAGGTGGGGAGAAGACAAGAGTCAGTGTTTAGAGAAGGGAATAGCATGGGGTGACTTTCCATTTTTTAAACAGTTATTAGCTAGAGAGCAGACCCCAGTTGGTTAGGGTAGATAAAACCTAGACAGAAAACCTGCAGTCTTACTCGTTTAATGAACCAAAGGGACAGTCTTTGACATAACCACAATAGCTGAAAATCTAGTAAGTCAGAGAAAGAAGAGAAGTACCAAATTCTACGTATTCTATCTACATACATCTGATTCCCAAACTACACATGTGAGTAATTCCAAGAAGCTACACTAAAGCTAAAACAACAAACTGAGATTTCAGCCTACAGGTTTGAGTTCAGCCAAGTTAACTAAAACAGACAAGCAAGAAAGCAGGCAAACCAACCAACCAACCAACCAACCAACCATCAATACTCATGGAGGAACACAATAGAATTCAGTCTCTACGATGTATCATTCATAATGCCTTGTACTCCAGGTCACAGAAACTACTAGATTAAAGGCAGTTCAATATAAATTCATAATTTAGATAACTTGTCCACTATTTTATCTTTCATTTGTCTCCTCTATTACCAGATCTGATGCCTGCCATCTCAGTTTATCTTGCTGCTATCAATTTGTTCATTTCTTCTGCATCATTCAAAAACTGAAATTGAAAGAGGGCATGTACATTAATAAAATTGTGGAGAACAGAACAAGAAAAAGATAGGGCCCAAATCATGAAGTGCCTTATAGTATCATTAAAATGTGAAGGTTTTACCTTTAGAGTAATGAAAAGCCACTGAAGGTGGGAAGGTGACATGATCAAGAAATTATGAATATTGCCCGGCCAGTGTGGCTCAGTGGTTGAGCATTGACCCATGCACCAAGAGGTTGCCGGTTCAATTCCTGGTCAGGGCACATTCCCAGGTTGTGGGTCCAACCCTCAGTGGGGGGCTTGCAGAAGGCAGCCAGTCGATGTTCTCTCTCATGGATGTTTCTATCTCTCTCTCTCTCTCTAAAAAATCAATAAAGAAAAAAATTTAAAAAAAAGAAAAGAAATTACGTATATATAGAGAAAAGGACGAAAGAATATGTGAGAAGACTAGTTAGAAAACTACTGCTGTAGTCTAACCAGGAAATGGTAATAGCTTATAATTACAGAGATACCAATGGAGGCTGAGTAAAGGAGAAATTTTAAGAGATATTTAGGAAGTAAAAATTAACAGAACTTCGTGATAGATTAGATATTGGGGTGAAGGAAGAGGTGTCAAGGTTGATACCTGACTTATTCAATTGTTTCATGTATAAACTAGGGAACAACGGAAAAGACTGTAAACTAAGGGGTCAATTAGAGGTTTGGTTTTGAACATGTTGAGTATAGGGCACATTCATTTTTTGTTCACTTATTTTTGGCTGATTTTTTAAAAAAAATCGCAGTTGAGCCCTGGCTGGTTTGGCTCAGCAGTTAGAGCATAGGCCTGCGGTCCAGAGAGACCCGGGTTTCGGTTCCTGCTAAGGGCATGTACCTCGGTTGCAGTTTGTCCCCAGCCCTGGTTGGGTCATGTGGGAGGCAGCCACTCCATGTGTCCCTTTCATGTCGATGTTTCTCTCTCTCTCTCTCTCTCTCTCCCTCCCACTCTATCTGAACAAAAAAATGGAAAAATGTCCTTGGGTGAGGATAAAAAAAAAATTACAGTTGACATACAATATTTTATTAGTTTCAGGTGTATAGCATATTGATTAGACATTTATATAACTTATAAAGTGATCCCCACTGATAAGTCTAGCATCCATTTGACACCATACAGTTATATTATTATCAATTATATTCCCTATGCTGTACTTTACATTCCCATGTAGGGTACCTTTAAGACATTAAAACAGATATCACAAGAGGGAGTTGAAATATGTGGGTCTAGAGTTCAGAGGAGAGGTCTGGGCTGCAGATAAACATTTGAAAGGCATCTTTGGTGCTGGTGTTTATCAAAACCTGAATATAGATGAGAAAATCTTACCATATAACTTAAGAACACTTAAAAAATATTCTTGGTTATATACTGTATAAAATATTATACAGTCATCACTAATTTTCCCCCTAAAGGCCAATATTCCTTACAGCCATCCTAAAGCTGCCTTTTTGGGATATTGATTTTAAGTTGTTTACTAAGAAATAAGACTTGTTCAAGAGAACAAGTGACACACCCCTTCCTGCCCAAGAGATTCAGAGAAACCTACTTCAGGAAGGAGATCTTAAGATGTGTGCCTATAAAACAAAAACAAACAAACAAACAAAAGCTCCTGTTAGCTAGATACCCCATGTCTCATTCATTGTTTGTATGCCTAGCAAGAACTTTTCTGCTATGTATGTTCCCCTCTTCCACAACCAACTATAAATGCATCCTCACTTCTGAAATCCAATACACCCCATCCCCCAACTTTTCGTTTGTACAAAAATGTCATATATCCAATGTTGCCTCACTGTCTTTGAAACTTTCATGACTATGTGATTTCCTCATGCACATGTATTAAAACTGACTTTTTCCTGTTAATCTGTCTGTTAATTTGATTATTAGCCCAGCCAGAAGAACTTACAAGGTGGGAAGAAAAGTATTAAAAATATTTTAGCCCCTCATAAGCCCAAACAACTAAACTAAAACAACTCAAAGAATTTCAAGGATTAATGATAATACAGTAAAAGTTCATTGTATTGCACCTGTCGGGCCTGTAGCAAAAACATACAAATACTGAAAGTAATAATTATGCTAAATATCATGAATTTCCACAAAGCGAAGGGAATAAAGACTTGCAAACAGGGCTGCACGCTACTCTGGCTGCAGAATGCTGAAGGAGCTGACGGAACTGCTGAGGCTCTCCTTTTCCATGTAGAAGGACAAACAACTTTGTGTAACTGGAGAACTTGGACAGAGCTGCTTGAAAAGCCAAACAATACTAGGTTATATATCAGTGGTATAAACTGTTCTATAGGTATTTAAAGGGATATCTGGGCTGAGAAAGGGAGTGGGGGTGGTATCTTGAATCATGGGTACTTAATTAAGAAGATTAAAGTATGAAGCAAGGCAACCAAATACTAGGCAGATTCTAGCGATAGTGAGTCAGTCACCCCTCTGGCTAGAAGAAAGGAGGGACAGGAGGAACGAAGGGGATTATGAAAAAGGAGTTCGGGTGGGGAGTAGTTACAGGAGAAGCTGAGAAGGGCCAATGAAGGCTGCAAGTGTACAGTGGCCTTTATTATAGAAGGCTTTAATATACACTAATGTTAAAGTTTTAGTATTAAGTAAAACTACACACACACACACACACATATATAAATAAAATTTTATCTTTGCCTCCTTACATAACTGAGTTTTACTGGAACACATTCAATTATTTTAACAGAAAAACACAGTTTATGTTGAATATAAGAGAAATAGGATGAACTAAAATTCACTTTTCAACTGAATTAGGATTCTCTTTTAGTTTATGAAGAAGGTAAGGAGGTCTTCTATTTTGAGGAGGTCTTTCCACTTTAACATATACATCATTTAAAAATATAATTGTGATTTTTATAGTAACCTCTAAAGATGATAATCTTTTCTGTAAATATTGGAATTTCAAGTTGCACAGTACCCTAGGAAATTATGTTGTAAAAGTATGTAATTTAAAGAGATTAGAGGAAAGCCTTGTTACCCAGTAGACTCCTTACTAGACCTTCCTCTTTCACACATCTGTCCAATTTTACCTCTTAAAACCAATCCCTGGCAACAAATTCTTTATACTAATGGTAGTTTCAAAGTGGAGAAAGTAACTTCTTCACTGCTGTAGCCTAAATACTTAGAAAGTGTATGGCAACTAGAAGATGCTCAGTAAATATTTGTTGCAATAAATCTCTAAATATGTATCAGTATACATCTAGATTTAAAAGACTATTATAAAAAATGGTATCTATTCCTCCAAAGTGTTTTCCTTACCCTCAGCTATAAGTCAGTGCTGCTATATTACCTTGCTTTGAAACTGCAAATTTGTTCCAATGTAAATGATATATTACTAGGGAACAATTGGAGCATTACATAAATTTTGCTGTGATTTTTGTCTGTGACAGACACTATGTGAATGCAGAAAACAAATTCACCTGAAACAAGCTAATGAATACACAAAACGTAAATATGAACACACCTCAAACATCTGCCAGCTCCCTCAGCTCACTGAGTCTGTGTGCAGTCACCCTCATCCACAGCCTGTGTGGATTTTCCTTCTGATTTCAGAAAACCCTCCTTTGACTACTTCACAATAATAAGCTATCACATCTACGTTCACGTCCATAAGCAAACTTCAGGCTTTTTTAAAGCAAAGAACAATATTTATTTGTATAAATGCTGTATAAGTATTTACATATTTCTTAACCACTTAACATTTATACTACTATGTTTTTTTAAGATTACTTTTTTAAAAAAAAAAAAAGTTCACTGATAAAGTTTTTGAGTGTTGTCCCCTGAATTCTCTTTTTTCCATAAACCCTGTGAAGGGCCTTTTTTTTTTTTTGCACAATTTGCAAAGCATGGTGATTTTCAGAAAAAAAAAACCTATGTCAAATTTTAGCAGAACTATCTGTACTGCAAAAGCCCTCTGACCTCAACAACTATTAACACCAACTTCCTCAGGATGTCTAATGGGAAGGCAGAATACTTCAACTTATCTCTTTGGTTGTCAATATAATGTTAACAGTGTCTTATCACCATCTATAATGTGTCTCTTCTGTGGATTGCCTGACATTATCACACCACACTGAAGTTGAGTTATTCTTTAAAGAATATTTTCATCATAGAAAGAACAATGGTATGCAATAAAAATAGTGGAATGATGCTATATTTTTAAGATTAAAGTTAAAAAAAGTTTTGAAACCTTTTGGCCAAAAGGAAGATTTTAGGATTAAGCCAGAAAAAGAATCATATTACCCACTTAATTACATAAACTATTTTAAGTACCTTTTACATTAGTGATATATTATGTAAATATGTCATCAAATGCCAGTTAAGTAACAGTGGATGCACTTCATATTTTTTAATTTTAAAAGAATTTCCAAGTGTCATTAAACACAAAAAGTTTCAACATTATTTTCAACAGCACATTATTAGAATTAAATTTCTTGGAGCATGATGTTACACATTTACTAGGGCAAAGCAAACTATAATATCAAAGTTATTTTGAAATCTATAATATCAAGTTAATTTTACTACAAGTTCAAGTACAAGAATTGTAGCTACGTAATTAAAAATCTAAAATTCAAATACTAACACCATTCAAGATTAAAAACAAGATAATTATAGTCTATTTTTAGCATAAAACAGCTGTCACTTTTGATCATTTTACATAGTTAACCAGTTATTTGCAAAAAATAAAATAACAGAAACATACCAAATCAGTCACCTAAATGCTACTTACTTTAAGTTTACTATTATGTTCAGATTTAGTGTTCTTTATAAGCTTGAAGGGAACAAAGAATTATGTTAACAAACAATGGATTTCTCAATACAGTAATTTACTTTCTAAAGATAAATAATAAACATCAATAGTTGAATATAATGATTCATACTACCTCTTCTTAAAAAGAAGACTTTCCAATTTTCTAAAAATGTTTTTATTGAAATTTTTAGAGGGAAGGAAACATCAATGTAAGGGAGAGACACGGATCAGCTGCCTCCTGCACACCTCCTACTGGGGATTGAGTCTGCAACCTGGGCATGTGCCCTGACTGGGAATCGAACCAGGACCTCTCAGTGTATAGGATGATGCTCAATCCACTGAGCCACACTGGCCGCGTTATTTTCTTTTAATTTAATACACTGCCTCAAGTCCATGAATGTTGACCATTTCTTATGATTAAAAGGTTTACCAGTAATAAGTTTTTCGAAAAGGAATGTGCAAGTCAGCCACACTTGGCAATTTATGTACTGTGGTTTTGTGGTGAGTGCTACCATTTTCTAAGGATCAAGAAAAGTGCAATAAATCTAAGACAGAATAGTTATAATTCATCAAAACATATTATATAACTACCTTTTTGTGTGTTTTCCAATTCATAGCTCATTATTCTCCAATACATTAGGGCTTCAAGATAAAAAGAGTTATATTGTTCAGTGGCCCCTTTTTTTACTTAATTTTTGGATAACACACCTTGTGCATAAATATAATCTTTTAAAAAAGATGACATAAATATGTGATATGTTAAGTTCCTATTTATGGGTAAAAGGAGAAAAAGGATAAAGATAATGAAAACACTTGAAAGAACCAATTTCCATCTCACATTAGTCATAAACATTTATAATGGAACAATGAACTCAATGACATGTAGAGATGATAATAATTTGGTTAAAATATTAATCTAAAATGGCATCTTAATATGAAGATAAAGAGAAAGTTATGAGAAGTTTCACCAACTAAGCCCCATTCAGTTTCAGTCCTTTCTTGGCCCTATGTTTCCTCTGTTCTCATATCACTTTGCACAGCTTCTTTCTAATGTCATGGCCCTCAGATACCTTTTCCCTAGACTGGACTGCTAGTCAGATGCTAGGTGTGTGTTATGGCTTTGGGAGTGTTAAGTTCACAAAATGGACAGTTATTATTGATGTTATAAATCCTTTAATAAACTAACAAAAAGTTAAATCAGCAATTTTTAAATTATACATACATACTTGATTGGTAATTTGACAACTGTGGTAAATCATGAGACCGTTAAGACTGCTAATGAAGATAAGATCTATGTGCAAAGGAAAACATAAACAAAAGATTTCATTACTATAAAAGCACTCAGAATCTTAAAAAGAAATGAAATAGAACTCAAAATGAACAAGTTAAAACTGATAAAACAATATTAAACTGAATCCAGTCTCTAAAATACAATATGTACAATGCAATTATTTTCTTAAGTATGTGCCAGATTTTCAATTCTAACACTTGATTGTATAGTTGGTTATTAGTCTCATTATGGTTATGGTAAATGAATTTTTTGTTAGATGGTCAAGAATAATCTCAGAACTGTATAGAAACTCCTATTTCAGCAGATTTATTATATATAAATGTTTTATATTTCTCTAATTACAGATACCCTTAGAGAATATGCAATTTAATATTTTTCATTGTATAATTGAACAAAAAAGAACCAGAATCTCATCCTATGATACTTATCCATAAAGACTTCCCTAATGAAATTTGAACTTTGAACTGTAAAATATACTGAAGTGATAAATTAATGAACATCTTTATGAAATAACATTTTCTAATGTATTATTTTTATATATTACATTTTTATACATATTGTGTGTGTGTGTATACCTTACTTAATAAACCTGTTGAGTGCCTACAACTTCCTCAATACTATAATGGGTGCTAAAATATTAAAATTAATAAAAGCACAGTTGCCTAATGTTCAAAAGATTTTCATTTTAGTAGAAGACAAACACATCAAATAAATGTAATAAATTGTAACTGAGTTGTTACAGATACAATATGCAGTAACACAAGCTTCCAGTCAATTCCGATATAAAGGGAGGATTTAAGGAAAGGATTCATTAAAGAATGTGAAAGCTAAGATGTGCCTTGGAAGATGAAAATATGTTTACTAGGTGGGTAGGTGAGAGGAAAAGAATATTTTAAGATATAAGTAGTTGCCTGGGGAAAGACTTAAAGGAGTAAAAAATAGCATGGCAAGTTTGGGAAACCACAAGTAGCTGGCTAATGTTGAAGTGCAGGGAGTGAGACTAACAGAGACAAAATGAGGTAAAAGAAAAGGCTAAAGAAGTGGAGTAGGCAGGGTTACATTATAGAAGATCTAACTGCCCTCCTTGGCACCATGCACATTGCATCCTACACGTCAGCAAAAACATGTCTCTCACTTTCCTGATTCAGATCATTTATCTCTGAAGTTCCAGGCCCTGCCTGGTTCTGTGATATTCTAATACGTCCCAGAAGCGAGCGTGTATTCATTCAGCAATATTCACTCTGTATTATGTAGAGGTACATAAACTGCAATGACGGTCAAGAGAAAGAAATGCCTAAACTCAGAAATACGGACAGGCAGGAGAAACTTCACAAATAATGTAATGCTTAGCCATGAAAGATGAATAATAAAAGTCTTGCAGGGTATCACTGATGACTGTGTTGGGGGAAAGAACATGATAAATTTGAGGAATTATGGCTATAGTACAGCTGGGAAGTGAGATGAGGTTAAAAAGGTGGAAAATTTTCAGTGAAAAATATACAGATTTCAGATAATGTAAAATATACATATAAAAAATTCTACCGGTCTGAAACTTTCTCATAGATATGACCCACTTTTTGGTTCACCATTTCTGGGATCCATTCCACTAACATTGCCCACTATATGCCACGCAATGTGCTCTAAATATGCAAAGATGAATAAAATAGTCTGTGCTTTTGAGATTATAATCTAGTAGAATCCAGATTTATATTGGACTTCTTAGAGCACATCTGTTATCTTATTTTATCCTCTCCACATATAAAGCTAAGAAGACAACTGTTATACTATGTTTTTTTTTTTTTAACTGAAGAGAATCATGGAGAGAATATATCCAGTTTCAACTGAGTCAGTGGCAGATCAGTATTCTAACCCAGTAGTTCCCAACTGCGGTGTCACCACTCACTGTTACTGCAATCAGTTGTGAGATGGGTTGAATGAAATTAGTTACTAGAAATAAAATACCAGAGCTCTACCTCTTTATCTATATAAATCTAATCTATGCATGTGTTCAAGGAGGGGCACACAAGGTTGATCACCTAAGTGTGTATTAACAACCTGAATGTCCATTGAGGAATGAATAAGTAAATTATTGTACAGCAAGACCAAGAATAGCATGCAACTGTTTTGTTTTTTTTTAAAGTAGAGTAAGATCCAAGCAATATGTAAAGACCTATAAGATATTACCTAATGAAAAAAGATGCAAAGGCTATGTATAATAGATTAAAAAAAAGACACCCAAAAGAGATAAATTTTAAACAGATATTTTTATATGAATGTATAAGAAAGGTTCTAAAAGGATGCCACTAATTATTTTGAAGAGGAGGCTGGGTAAAGGGACGCATGGATGGAAGATGGTCCAAGGAGGTTTAGTCATCTTTGTTATGTTTTCATTTATTTATAAGTATATGCATGTATTACTTATATAATTAGTCTTAAAAATTGAGATAATCAGTGCAGAATATTGTCCTTATAAAATTATTTCCTACACCCTCAGAAGAGGGTGGTGGTGGGGAGAGGGAAGAGATAAATCACAGAACTTATATGCATGTAAGCATAACTAATGGACATGGACAACAAAGCCGGGGACGGGGTGGGGGGGATGGGGAGGAAGGTGTCAATGGGGTAAAAAAGGAGAAAGATCTGTAACAAAAATAAAATAAAATAAAAGGGCAATCTAATAGAAATAGAGACTAAAATGGTGGTTACTAGGGGCTGGAGAAATGGGGAGATGTTGGTCAAAAGGTAAAAACTTCCAGTTAAAAGATAAATAAGTTTTGGGGATCTAATGTACAGCATGGTGATTATAGTTAATAATACTGTAGAATATACTTGAAAATCGCTAAGACAGTGGATCTTAAACGTTCTCACCATGAAAAAGCAATGGTGTTTATGCCGTATGGCAGAGGTATTAGCAATGCTATGGTGGTCATCATTTTGCAACACATATGGATATCAACTCACACGTGGTACACCTTAACTTGCACAATGTCAGATAGCAGTTATAGCTCAATAAAGCTGGGGAAATGTAAAAAAATAAAATAAAAATTATTTCCTTCCTATTTCCACATAACATTACTTGTATTCTGATATGTGGAAATGAGTTATCTGAAAGTTACAGAGTTATCTGAAAGTTCCTGTATTTAGCCAACTAAATGTACTTTCAAATACTTAAAGGACTATGTTATCTATGTTGAAACCATTACTGATATAGTTAACAGCTGTGAGAAAATGATCAATTTTCAGGATGCTTGACAGATGAGATCTACAGTTACATTTTAATTAAGTTAATTTATCTAAGACTACCTCTATGCTTAGTCTCCTATCTTATAATCCACTGTTTAAAAAAAAAAAAAAAAAAAGGCCAGGTCTGTCTGTCTCTCTCTCTTTTTTTACCCAAAGGCTAACTCAATGTGAACTAATATGCAGCCCTCAACCGAGTAAGTAGTACTCACCCACCAATGAGATGGTTTAAATGTTTAAGATAAAAAGAGTAAGGGGTGGTAGAAAAAGTTTACTGTCACTATGTTAAGCTTAAGAGTCTCCCAATAAACCCAACACTCTTATAGGAATTTATTACATATAAATATGGATAAGAACAGCTTTCTGAGCTTATAGTATAATCACTAGTTCTGTGCTAAATGATTAACATGTATCATTTTCGTTACTTTTCACAACATTCCTGTAGTAAGGATTAAATGAGAAATTGCATGTAAAACTCTTCATACATAATGCCTGACATATAATAATAAATGTTGTCCTTTATTAAGTATTACTACTGCCTAATCTTTAACTTTATCAAGTAAGCCTTGCTCTGCCACATTCAGCTTTTCAAAAGACTCACTGATTTAAGTGCATCAGGGCTAAGAAATGTTCAATGGATCCCATTATTTACTGAATTAAATCGAACTCCTTCACTTGACATTCGAAAGCATGTATGGCACAGCTCCATTTCCCATCATATCATCCCCTACACCCCACTATTCTCTAGGCACACAATTTCTAGAACATATTACTTACTTTCATTTCCATAACTTAGAAATACTCTTTCCACTCCCTCTAAAGAATTCTATCTGTTCTTCAGTAGAAACATTACCTTCCCTACCAAATCACTTCTGTCTGTGATACTTTCAAGTATATGGTTTGCACCTCTATTATGATACTTAAAAACCAAAAATTACTTGTCAGTAAGCTCACTGAAATTAAGGTTTATTCATTTTGACATCCTTACTGTGCCTAGCACAGTGCTTTAAACACAATTTTCATTCAATATAGAAAGATTTTTACCATTACTAATAGTCCCAATGATAACTAATAAGACCTGAAATTCAGATGCAATACCCTCTGCAATTTCTCCTTTAATCCACTTAACAGTGAGAATGCTCCTATAATTCTAGTAGTAGCTCCTTTTCCAGTCCTAATTCAACATTCAGATAAATATTTTTCAATGCCACACAAGTGATGTGGCACATAATCAGTGACATAATGCTGACTAGATTGACTAACATTAAATTCATTATGCACTAACAATGAAGGGTGGAATATTAAGCACAAGCTAGAATATTAGAATCATCTCTTAAAATCACAACTGGAATATAAAATTCCTTTGTTCAATATTGGGTAATCTCTAACCTATCTGAATGAAACTTTAAAATCAAAAGATATGTATAGTTATCTTTTTTAGAAAAATAAAATCACCTTTTTAAAAATAATTTTTTTCTTTATTGATTTTAGAGAAGGAGGGAGAGACAGAAATATCGATGATAGAGAACACTGACTGGCTGCCTCCTGCATGCCCCCCACTGGGGATCAGGCCCACAACTTGGGCATGTGCCCTGACCAGGAAGCGAACCAGCGACCTCGTGGTGCATGGGCCAATGCTCAATCAATGAGCCACACCGGCCGGGCAATTCAATCACCTTTTATGGATTGTTTCTAAATCTGTACAAATTGGTAAAAGCAATAAATATCATTAAAAGTTAACTGACCTCAACCCTCAAACTATTCATAAGATTTTTCTTGGTTAAAATCTAAGGCAGCAGGAAACCTCAGTTTTTTGTTTTGTTGTTACATTTTGTTGTTATAATTCCAACTACTTATAACTTCCTAGTCTGGTTTCTTTTGAGTAATCAAGTAAAAATATAGCAAACATTACTTATATACTTACATTTAAAGTAATTAAATTCTCCAGGTAACTGGTCTATATAATACATTCTTTGGTTGTATCCAGAAATCTTACTTATGACTTCTAATTACTGAAGAATATATTAACTCTTTATGTGAAGACATTTGTAATGGTTTAGGAACTCAGGATGGAGAATTTGTTTCACTTATTTAATTCTCTATATTACTTGTACTATATGTGAACCTCTTAAAGGAAGACAGTTCTGTTGTGGCTAATGTTTACTTTTCAATGAAGACCAGATTACTTTTTGTACATTTATAGGGCTTAACTCAATAGCATTTCAAATTTATTTTTCTTAAATTGTTTCTGGATTAGTTTGCTACTACTAGCAAACAAGTTAAATTAGAAATATTCAGGCAAAAGGTATGTTAAGGTCAATACTAGCTACAAGTTACCTATATGTTAGGGATGCTGCTATACTTTTAAAGCAAGATGACCACAAATTTTGAATGTAAAGTTTTGGTTATCATAGATTTCATTGTAAGGCAGTTACATAGGCTAAGCTTGACTGGTGCCATTGACTTTAGCATACCTGGAAATAGAAAAATTCAAATTGTAGCTGTTCTTGGTTGGCCCATTGCCATTTTTGCAGCTTACAAATTTTTAATTAAGTAACTGCAGTGAGCTCATCTCTACTGGATACTTCTTTTCCAGGGCAGGTCCAGGAACGGGGTCTGGAGCCTTGAAAGCAGAAGAGAAACTAGAGTAAACTAGAGGTAGGCAGAACAAGAAACCTGACCAGATAACATTATGAGATCTAACAGCAGTGAGGTAGTCCCCAATGTCTCTCACATAAAATATTCCCAAGTGGAAAGAGGGTCTCTTAAATTACAAGTTACCAGAAGATGCTATTTACATTAGTTAAGTCATTATTTTAACCTACCCAACTCTATTCTGGACTCCCTAGTCTAGAAATTGAAATAGTAGCCTTTATGAAATCTCCAATGGCTTTTAGCAACAGACTGTCCAACATCAGACCAGAGTATAACAGAAAGAGAATAACAATAAACCCATTTTCGATGGTAAACCTTTCCAAAGCCCTCATTTTCAGATCAGTTTGCTTTTCTCTTTCGCTATCTTTACTACTGTCTTCTAACTGTTCCCCCTATGTCCTAAAATCAATTCTCAGAGGTTTCTTTAAAAAATGCTTTAGATGCATTCAAGAAATGAATTGAATTTCAAGTTCCAATTTAAAAAAATACTTGGTAATTCTTAAAGAGGGGACAAAGAACAGCTCATAAGCTGTGGTTCTTAACCACAATGGAAATTCTTTTTCCATTACCAAAATAGATTCAATGATTAAAAAAAAAAAATTTTTTTTGTTAGGTCCATATTAAAAACAAACAAACAAAAAACCCAACCTTACAACTATAAAAGTTACAGAAATGGTAGGATATTAACAGTGGTAGACTGTTGTGCTAATTAGATCACTAAGGCCTGGAAACAATGTCCTTATACTTGGCAAGCTAGCATCCTAAGGAGTTTCTCCAAGAAACCAATCTCACAGCAGTCAAAATAAATTGAATTCTCTGCTGCTGCCAAATGATGGCTGATTGTGAAAATTGTAACTGGACTGCCCTGGCAGGTTTGGCTCAGTGATTAGAGCATCAGCCCACAGAACAATGAGTCGTGGGTTCGATTCCGGTCAAGGGTACCTACTTCAGTTGCGGTTTGCCCCCAGCCCTGGTCAGGGTCATTCGGGAGGCAACCAGTTGATGTGTCCCTCTCACGTTGATGTTCCTCTCTCTCTCCTTTTCTCTTCCTCCCACTCTACCTGAAGATAAATGGAAAAATATCCTCAGGTGAGGATTTAAAAAAAAGAAAATTGTAACTGGGCCAAAAAAAAAAAAAAAAGTGAAGACAAGGAATCAAATAACTTTCTGCATTTTTAGTAACTAGCAACACAGCAAAGCAAAATAGAATAAAAGTAGTTTTTAACAAAAATGCAAAATTTCCATCCTTTGTGATGGCATATTGTTGGTGAAAAAAAAAATGTGGGAGAGACAGATCTAGGTACAAATCTGGTTTCAGTATGGCCTTGGACTAAAACTTTCTGCAGAAGTTTCCTGTCTGTTAAACAGGACAGCACTGCCCACATCACTGGATGGTCATGAGAATTAGCTAAAGGATATCAAGACTTAAAAACCTGGCACACAGTTGGTATTCAATACACTTTCTGCATTACTAAAGAATGAAACATACGTTTTTCCTAAACATAAGTATACTTAAATTTTCTTTTTCATAAATGCTAAAGCAACAGCTGTGTAACACATTTTAGTTTTAAATAACTCTTCTGCATCACATCCTAAGAAATATAACCAATTTTTCATCATTGATTGCAAAACAACTACAAGGTAAATGTGTGAGAGCTAATGATTAATAAAAATATAAGAATTTTACATTTAGGATATAAAGAGAATTAGTGGCAAACAAAAAGACGTAATTCTCCTCCAAGTAAAGTAGAAAATACTTTTGTCAACACACATTGGTATGGTTACAGATCTGGAATATAGTGCTTTTTAAAAAACAAAAGAATCAATATATGATACAACTTAGGTCTTTAAGTCAGGAAATGCTTTAAGGGCAAAGAAAAGCTTTACACTTGTGCAATAATTTTCCTCGTACTGATAGAACAGTGGGTTCCACACAAAATTATTATTTACCAAATATGGCTCAAAGATCAGATTACACCTTCCCTGGCATTACCAAGCAATAGAGCAAGTATCACAGCCACAGGAATTAAAAAAAAATTTGTTTCCCTTAAAGTCATTCTAAATGTATTTGCTGTTGCAACTTTATTTTAAAGTAGTTTTTAAAAGTTACATGAAAAATGTCTATTCAAAAAAGACTATAATTTACTTAGAGATAAGATTAAATAAGCGGGTGCATTCCCCAGAAGGAAAAAAAAAAGTATTTTAAGAATGAGGATTCCCATTCATTAACCCATATGAATAGGCTTTCAGTTTAAAGGACATAAAAACAACAACAAAACAATAACAACAACAAAAAAAACCCTTGCCCCACTTTAGATTAACTAGCTATCATACTGAAATCTTATTACTCATAGTAATATTTCAGTTGATTCTTTTGGCTTTTCCACATATACAATGTCATCTATAAATAATGAATTTGCCTCTCTTTCTTTTCAAATAATTACACCTATTTTTTTTTGTCGTTTAATTACACTGGCCAGCGTTCCCAAGACAATGTTATGTAATAGTAATGCTGGCCACACCCTTTTTGATTCATGGCTTTTTAAAAGAAATTTTGCATTTCACTAAATAATAAAATAGGAATTCTAGTATTCTACCATTAAAAATGCTGACTTCTGGTTTGAGATATATAAAACCTTAGGTATACTAATTTATTCTAATCCTTTATTTCACTAAGGATTCTTATCAGAAATAAATGTTGACCCCTTCCCCAGCTTTTTTATCCCTTAGTCACACCACCCCTCTCACCTACTAATGTGAATTAATTTGATTTATCATTATATTCCTAGGGTGAATCCGATTAGAGCATTATTCTGTTAATGTAATGCTAGATTCCATTTGATAGTTTTATGCAACAACTTTTGTGAGATCTGTGTGTAGTCTTTTACACTTATATTTTATCATGTTATGTGATGTTTTATAAAAAGAACTGGGAAGCTTACCTTTTTCCCCCTCTCTATTCTAAAACAGTTATCTGATGCTTGATGTTTTTTTTTGTTTGTTTGTTTTTTTTTATCCTCACCTGAGGACATCTTTCCATTGTTTGTTCAGATAGAGTAGGAGGGGGAGAAACAGAGAGGGAAGGAGGGAGAGAGAGAGACATTTTTTGTTCACATAGAGTAGGAGGTGGAGAAACAGGGAGGGAGGGAGAGAGAGAGAAACATTGACATGAAAGGGAGATATCGAGTGGGTGCCACCCGCATGGCCAACCAGGGCCTGGGATAAACCGCAACCGAGGTACGTGCCCTTAGCAGGTACCGAACCTGGGTCTCTCTGGACCGCAGGCCTACGGTTGACACTCCAACCACTGAGCCAAACCAGCCAGGGCTGATGCTTGATGTTTTAAGCAATTCAAAAGTAAAACCTAATGGGTCTGGTGCTTTTTCATTTGTGGTTCCAGATCTTATCCTTTCCTTCATATTTCCTTGATGAAACCAACCCCCTTTTTCTTCAATCTCTCCCTTCAACCTATGAACACGTTTAAGACTTCACCACCTTAAACATACATCCATGTACACACTTGTACCACAAAAATTTTCCTTACCAATTATGTGTTATTTGGCAAGTATTGATTCACAAAGCTATTTATTAAAACTGTACTTTTTTCAGGGCACTGAGAAAACAGAGAATGAGCTGCAGTTCCTGCCCTATACCTACTTTTAATTCAGGTAAGAATAACAAACATGCATTACAGAAACTGTAATAGCAAGGTAAGATATGAATATGCTATGTCAGTCCATGTATCTCTTACCATTCATGCCTTGCCAAAATTATCTACTGAATACTTATACGACGGCCTCAACTTTGTTTTAAACTGCCTTCAAGTTTCCTTCCTTGATACTAGTTTATTCAAATCACCAAATCCAACCTCTTAAGGATCCTCATCCACGTTTTTGGAATAACTTAAGTTCAAAAATATTTTTAAGTTTTATCAGGCACTTCTAAATCACCATATCATTTGATCCTTATGAAAACCACTGAGAAAGGCTAGGTAGTTATTACTCTCACTTTGCAAGGTTCAGAATATTTAAGTAATTTACTGATTATCAAAACTCCAACAGCAGAGTTAGGGCCAGAAATGCATTCATGGCTTTCTAACTCCAGGTCCAAAGTTCCTTCTTCTGAACTGTATTAACATGATTGACTGATTACTAACTTGAATGATTAGTGATCATTCTCTACTTGAAAACTTTCCTGGTCATCACTATATGTTCTAGTTTCCTAGGATCCTTATTTCTATGTTTGTTTTTAACATTTATAAAAAGAATATAGGTGCAAAGTTATGGCTTTCATTCTCTACCTTCCTTCCTCTGGCATCTCATCTACACTTAAGAGCATAATCTAAGGAGAATCTCCTTTGAATTGTAGTTTACGTTTTCTATTCTACTCTATGAACTTAAACATTCAAAATTGTAGAATTTCATAATGAAAGCTTTATAGAATATCTAGCCCAACATTCTTATTTAATGAAAAACAAAGTTCAAATCATACAAATTGTAGCATAATTTGAATAAGTTTGACAAAATTTGCCTTTAAACTTATGAATCACAAAATAAATGCATATATTTATACACAGTGAAAGAAAATAATTAAACTAATTTAAAGTTTAATTACTGAACCTTATTTCATTTTTGTTAAAGACTTGTCCCTATTTCTAAGAGATTTTATTTATAATATAGTATTAACGTATTGAGTCCATTTATAATATTTTTAAAGTCACAGAACGGCAATACAAATAAAACCTACTCAATTCTGTATATTCATGAACTATCTAAATTTCAGATTAAAGCGAACTGGGAATTAAAAATTATATCACTACCCATGCTATGCTCTAGGTTGATATCATGCCGCAATTTAAAAGGCAGAAACAGGTATTACTATAAACTGCTGTAAAGTATTTAGATCAGTGTCTGGCACATGGTAAACATTCAAAACATGTCAGCTACCACTGCCGCTGCAACAACTACT